GCACATTATTCAATAGAACAAGAACGGTGTGTTCGAGTGGCAGACGAGACTACGAAGAGGACTTGTTGAAGGAGACACTGGTGAGAAATGGTTATTTGGAGAGGTAGGTATATAATGAAGTATACTCATTAAAACATGGGAAAATAACATCAGAGACAACTCCTCTGAAGAAGAAGCCGTGTATGAATGTACTTCTTTTAAAGGGAGATACCTCTACTCAACTCTACTCAGATCTGTTTATCCAGAAGGAGACCGTAGTTGGAATAAGTTCACGTTTGTCTCACACTTTCATTTTACCTGTAATTCTCTCTCCCTTCACTCTATTTTCTTCACGCTGATGTTCCTGGATTTGCTACCATTATTATTATTATTATTATTATTGCTGTTGTGCCTGATATATTGTTAGTTATTTCTTCAGGATATTTGTAAATCGACAATCGTGGTTGAGTGTTAGTCTCCGTGAGGAGTGTTCAAACTATCTTACCAGTTGACATCAGGCATGTCATCATCGTACTATTCAGTCCTATATTGCTTGCATATCGATATATTTATTTACTTCCTGTTATGACCGGAACTACGACCTAGTAGAATATGAGCGAATACTAACTTAATGAGCTGGCTAGTCTGTCCTAATCGCACGTCGACAACAACGTCAACAACAACAACAACTGTAACAATGACACGGCCCACAGACAAAGACAGAAGAGAAAATTGGACGTTAGTAAGAGACTTTTTACTGTCTCAAAACAGCAGTCAAAAAGAGTCATAGCGCTTGCGTACACTTGTGTTTATAATGACCTTGAAGGCACAAGTGTCATTAATAAATTCAGACAGTGATCAACCAATAGGACTTCAAAGGTCACCAGTAGGGTGAGAGAAAATCAGGTCTCCCATGTCCACACATTATTCTATATCACTTACATGTATTCTTCATATTGAGTTGTTGGTGTCTATGACCTTTGATCAGACATGATCATGTAAGTCTGATGCAATAGTGCACAGTGTTTACAGTGTATGTTAAAATAATAATGAAAATTAAAACAAGTGACTCAGTGAAGAGAATCTTTTCAACGAATTCATTATCAAGCTGTACAGTCGTATTTATATTGATACATGGTTTTCAAGAAATTATATCCGCTAAGGGAATTGTATCATAGGTGTGAATACATAAAATAATAATATTAATATTAATAATAATGATAGCAATGTGAAATGCAATTAACGTGTTTGTGATTATAATCGTAGTTAAATGTCAAGTGACAAAACAACCAATCTCACATACAGAAAAATTCATAGGATTTATGGCAAGGGTGTGAAATTATAGGATTACTAGGCAAGTCGAGCAAAATAAAAGGTTACATAACATTGTGTGACAAAATAATAATAATAATGATTTACTTTATTCCAAAAACAGCAATTGTGATACAGAATGGAATTTTCAGCATTAATCATAATATTGCATCTAATTTCCTCAAATTATAAAGAAAATTAATCACATAGAAAATTTTTCTACATTTACAATAGGGTTAATATAAAAAAAAAAAATAAAAAACATATAAAATGGAAATAATAATAGACTGATTATGTATGTGTCTGTGGAGAAATTTTGATCACAGCTCATGAAATTTTATTGTTTATTTTTTTTTGTCGATGACCATTGATGACTCACTCAGACATGATGGATAGGACAAGGATTTCAATAACACGGTATACTTGTATGTAAGATTCAATACAGTGAAATATATTTCCATATCATGAATCAAAAGTCAATCTGAACGAAGAACATTCCCCACAATACGTGCTCTTCAGGTTCTCACACTTATAAAATATAATCATATTTGTTATCGTTACAATAGTGATTTGAATATTCCCATCATGATAATTATGGAAGATGAATTGAGGAAATACGTATTTTGAGGGATATTCTCATCAGACTTAACATTTACACAATGGAATATTCGTCATAGACATTTGAATTATTGTGGTTAATAGAATATGTAGGATCGGAGTTCAGTGATGTGAATGAATGAATGATAATCAAGGTGATCATAATAACAATAATAATAATAATTGTAATGATTATACATTTCAACTGCGATCAAGTTTCGACAGAATACTTCGAAAATGATTGGGCGTCGAGTGAGGAGTAGACATTTGTAAAAATTACATTTCTGAAATCTCAGGGAAATTGAAATGAGTAAGTCCAGTGTTTCCTACTTTCGGAAACCTGCTCCGTACTTCCTCAGGGAAGTTGATCGCATTTAAAATAACAGAGGTTTGTATATAAAAAGAGGGGACATCTTGAACTGACAACAGTGACAGGACCATTGGAAACCCAGCAGAGTGTACTGGACAGCCACCTGTTTCGTCAGCCTAGTTTGATGCTGTTCAGCAATGCACAACCCGACCACGGGGTTCAAACACACGACATTCTTGTTACAAGGCTAGCGAGCTAGCTTGTAGACCGTTAATCCACTCACTAGGACCCCATCCAATAACCAGCCAGATTATGAATTCTAACTTCTCACAATTCATAGAATATTGTGACCACTTCGAACTGTCTTCTTCGAAGAGATACTGCCTCACCTTCGACGTGCTTCTCCCTACTGGTCACGGCTTCCCACTTGAACATCACGTAACTACCTACCTGAATAGGGCGAGTCACTAGTGAGCATCTGATTAATTGTCAATGGTGAAATCCCCCAACCAATCAAACACAATTCCTGTAAAGCCATCTCTTTTCGTTTTTTCAAATAATCGTGAACTCATATGAGTCATGAAGAAGACATCAAAATATTATCGAGAAAATTGAATGAGCTGTGATCAAAATTTGGTCTCAGACTTACAAATATTGGTCTGCTTTTGTTAAATACTTCAAACACAGTGTATTTTGCATCAGAATTTCAGTGATTCCGTTCGACTGGAAGTTCATGGTCGTAGTAGATAACTGAATATGAAAATAGACGTGTATGTGCGGTATACAATGGTCGAACGTATTCACTAAACTTCTCATTAACAGTTCACTGTGTTCAAAGTGTTTAACGAGAGTAGACTCAAATCCGCATGTCTGAGATCAAATTTCGATCACAGTTCATGAAATTTTGTCTATAATATTGTTATGACTGCTTCATGACTCATATGATTGAACAATGCCTTTATATACGAGAGATGTCCTTTTTATTGATATATAAACCTGTGTTGTGTTAATTTCGATTAACTTCCCTGAGGAAGTTCGGATCAGTTTTCCGAACGTACGAAACGTTGGAATTACTCATTTCAATTTCACTGAGATTTTACAAGTGTGTTATTTTTACAAATATCTACTTGTCACTCGACGCCCAATTATTTTAACCAAAGTGTGAGAATTGTTGAGTTTTGGGTGAAGAAACGTAATACGAAAACGGTCAAGAAAATTGATTCTTTATGAAACTAGGGTAGTGACAAATGTGATGAGTTGTCACAAACAGTTGTTAAAAAGAATTTACGTAATGATATGAATAATTTGATGATTGAGTTGTACTCAGGATGCACATAGAAACAAAGCAGACAATGTGAACTCAACACACATCCTGGTGTGTTTTCAGTGAACAGCAGGAGATAAGGCGATGGTGCCCCACCCCTGGCCGACAGTCAGTCGGCTGCAGTCGGACGCCAGTCGGCCGACCAGTGTTCCGTGGTCTGGCGGTGGGTGGGATGTTGGACAGAGATTCCATGAATCATGCATGACTGGCTGACCACAGTGTTATACATTCATGTCTCCACTCACCTCCTACAACCTATATCCAGTGTAGGCTGGCAGCCACGCGCGCAGTCTTGTCACAATTCCTCATTGTAAGCTGGTCCCTGCATACCGTTATCTTCTCTAACACAACCACCCCACAAGACAGCTGACAGACATAAAAGTGAAAATGTCAATCGCCTTCCTCTCTTCAATATTAATTATATTATTTATTTACGACGTGAAATCTGCTTATGAATTATAAATTGTCATATTGTACAATCCGAGAAGCTCAGATATTCCAACTAGCACAAAGTCAACTCTGTGTATCGATGTTCTCCTAGACACTTTCAACCTACTCACAACCGGCAAGACAGCAAAGGACAATTACTCGCAACTCTAAACAATAAGAACCCATACCGAAACGACCTACGAACGCACAAACGACCTTCAGAAACCATTCAGGTGTCTCTTTGTTGTTTCTAGAAGTAATTATGGATGCTCTACACCTTTTTCGTTGTAAATTCGCTCCGGATCTTGTTTTTGATTACTGTTTGGATCAGGGAGTGATTGCAAGGTGGAAAATTTGTCAGTGTGGAGGTGATATGCGTATACAAAAATACACAAACTGCATTGATGGGTTTGTGCAATGGATATTGGATATCGAGGCGATTCCTAATCGCAGTGCAGGTGTATTATTGCCTATTATCCAGCACCTAGTGCTGCCTGGGACCACTATTCACACAGACCAATGGAGCAGTTACGGTCAATCTCGGTCTAATCTCGGGTATATTCATCATGTAGTCAACCACGAAAACGGTTTTCGCAATCTTTTCCATGGAACTCATACTAAATCAATCGAAAGTTTCTGGAGTCATCTAAAAAACGGATTAGATTGTTGAATGGATCTAGAAATCCAATGATATACAGTTATCTTGATGAGTTTATGTATAGAACTTGGTTTAACATCAGTATGAAGACACCTGTGAGAAATTGGGAGCTCTCTTTGCAACTTATACGAGAACGTTATCCATTGTAACTATTTTTTTAACATTGCATAACTTATGTGTAAGCGATTTTTTACAATTATGCGCCACTTTTCTTGAGCCCTCTGATTGGTTGAAGTTGTCCTTGACAAGCTCGTTTGTGCGTTCGTAGGTCATTTCGGTTTGGGTTCCTATAGTTTAGAGTTGCCCAATTTTTAGTCATCAATCTTTTCAAAACGCGTGGAAGTGGGTGACTCTAAACTTTAGGAACCCAAAACAACCTTGAGAACGGATTACCTTGATGAATGACCTTGAACAGGCAATCATCTGACTCGCAATGGATGCTGTACATCGTTTGCGATGCAAATTCGCTCCAGAGTTAGTTTTCGATTACTGTTTGGAGAACGGGCTCATAGCGAGATCTAAAACTTGCCAGTGCGGAGGTGTTATGCGTATACATAGATACACTAAATGCATCGACGGTTATGTTTACCGTTGCAAGGATTGCAGATGCAGAAAATCAGTCCGAGATGGTATGCCGTTATTTTTTAGTTTATACATTCCTTAGATACATTTTTCTCGAAATCCCATTTACCTCTAGGAAAGATATTGATGATGTGCCACAATTGGGTTATAAGAAGACCTGTAACAGCAACGGCGTATGAAACTGAAATGTCAGAAGTTTCTGCAGTACAGTGGTACCAATACTGCAGAGACGTGGCGTCGTGGAAGATGAACAAATTGACCCAAGTACTCGGTGGAGTTGGTGTGACTGTTCATGTGGATGAGACGGTTTTAATAAAAAGGAAATATAATCGAGGGAGAATGGCTTCTAATCAACAATGGGTGTTGGGTATATATGACACGACCCTACACAAAGGATATATAGAAGCAATCCCTGATCGCAGTGCCAATGTACTGTTGCCAATCATCCAACGTTTAGTACTACCGGGAACAACAATATACACGGATGAGTGGAGTAGTTATAGCCAGTTATCAAATCTGGGCTATATTCATGAGGTTGTCAACCATACAACCGGATTTATAAATCCTTTCACCGGAACTCATACTAATTCGATTGAAAGTTTCTGGAGCCATCTGAAAAAACGGATAAGATCGGTCAACGGATCAAGAAATCCAATGATTTACAGTTATCTCGACGAATTCATGTATAGGACTTGGTTTAATATGACTTTAAAGACTCCTATGTCTAATTGGGACTTTTTTTTGCAACATATACGAGAACGCTATCCTTTGTAACTATTTTTTAACATTGCTTTACTTGTATATAAACGTTTTATTAAAATTATGCGCCGTTCGTTTTGAGCCTTCTGATTGGTTAAAATTGTCCTTGTCAAGGTCATTTGTCCGTTCGTTCGTTTGGTTTCCTAAAGTTTAGAGTCACCTGGAGGTGATATGTAGTCACATGATACGATATCTGCCTTGTTTGCTAGTCTGATATATTTTGCTTTGCGTTTATTGATCGTTAGTCTATGCGATTCACAGTCTATCTTGTCTCTCTGCCTATTAACTAGATAACAACGTTTGACCTTTGTCACATGACATCGTAGCCAATCAGAATCACGTAAGTGGTAAGAAAAACAAAACAAATTACCTCTCTTACTGGTTCATGTCCATTAATTATATGATCTCCCATATGATCGTGTAGTGTACAATTGATTGACACATTTGCTACTTTTCCACTCAAACAATAACACAATGATTGGGAATGGAGTTGATAATCATGAAGTGCATAATAGTGATGAAAGCGACCAGGGTTATCGGTGAGTAATGATATTTGTTGTGTTAATTTATCCTATCTTTTCTGTTCTGTTCTGTCCTGTCCTGTCATGTGATGTGATGTAATGGGATGTGATGTGCTGTGTTGTGGTGGTCTTAGTTATTTACATTTCTTTATTCAGGGTAAATTTCGAATGTGACTCAACTCTTGTGTGTGTGTTTGATTTACTATAGCACTGATAGTCTTCGAATAGATTGAAACTGGCGTGTTTATTATTTCACTTTTGTAGTTGATGTCTGTTATTTGGTTAGTTGGTGGAAGTGATTGTTGTTGTGGTCGTATGCGTGTATGTGTTTGCGTGTGTGTGTGCGTGTATGTGTGTAAAGGTGAGGTTGTGATGGTGTCAGAACTGAAGAGGAGGATGACTGTGACTGAGGGTGATGGCGACACATTGAATGAATGAATGAATATGTAGGTGGAGAGTGGAAGAGAATGATGATGGAGTATTGATCGGAAATCGATCATCCGATAACGAGATGTGTTTCGGTGATTTCAGTTGGAAAATGTGCAGTTATTTAACGATTCCTGTGTACATGGAGTGTTGATTGAGAAGAGAGGTGAGCAGTCCTTGTTGTTGTTGTTGTTGTGAGTTAGTAAGGCGATGTGAGTGTACGTCGGAGCTTCGTGGTTTCACTGTGAACTTCTGAGTGAATGGTGATGATGATTTGGAGAGGGTTTTGATAGGATGTGATGTAGGATGGATGAAATGTATGTGGTGGTGAGTGGACTGTGCGGTTCACAGAATGGGTGGGCTGGTGTTCACACGTGTATGCATTCATTCTAGTGAGTGATGTTGTATTTTGAAGTGTTTGTTTCCACGGATTTGTTGATTAGTTTGAGTTGGGATGAATGATTGAGTGAGTGAGTGACATGAATGAGTCGAAGAATGGTGGGAGCACACAGGAAGTGTTGTAGAGTTGGTTGTTTTTCCACTGTCACTATTTACCAATGCTTTGCATATATCGATATGTGTTATCTATCTATTTATTCATTTATTGATTTATTTGCTCGTCTGTGATTTACTTGACGAGGCGAACAGTCAGAGGATAAGGCAGATGGACAGACGGACACACAGACTGAGAGAATCTTCAATATGATGTGTCCGACTGATAATGAGGTGAATGTGGAGAGTACATGGGAAGGTGATTGTTATCCGTGATTGCGGAGCTGATTGTTGTCGGTGATTGTGGATAAGTTAATAGTAGATTAAATCAAGATGAGAGGGATTGAGCTGTGAGTGAGTCAGTGGGTGAGTGTTTTTGACTGTAGTTATGTAAGTGTTGTGGTGAATTTGACAAGCCCTGATTCGTAGTTGAGTTGTTTTGTGAGGATTGAATAACAGAATTTTCTCTCTCTCTCTCTCTCTCTAGATCTGAAGATGACGATGTGGATGATGGTGAGAGAAGACGACGTTTGACTTTGCTGTTTGAGAAGCAGATGAGACATCTGGATTTGAAGATTGAATATCTGAAAATGAAGAAACGCATTTTGCGTGAGAAGATAAATGGATTGTTGCGATCCTGAAGACAGCCTGAGGAATTGTGCTCAAATGAGATATGCATAATTTTTATTCCGATATTTGTAATAAATTTTGATATATATTCACCAATGATGTTGTTGTGAATGCACTACTCTATCGAATGTTTTGCAAATAAGTTTCTGAGTAATGTGGCGTGTAATGTGAAACAGCGTATGTGTAGGTGGCGATTTTGTTGAGATCCGGTGGAGATTTTGTCTGTGTCTCCTGTCGAAGTATTTGTTGAGATGATGGAGAGTGAGTGATGTAGCCGACTGATGTTCACTTGCAGTCTATGTGATGGCATTATATTGAAATACGTTTCATATTCTCACGATCCTTTGGGTTATGAAACACGGAATTGTTTGTGTGTGTTTGATTCAGTTCGACGGAGGGATGGAGTGATGGATGATGTGAATAATTGATTGATAAGTCAGGCATCTTTGACTGTTCTGATTATTCTCCATGTGATCAGAGTTGTTCTTATAAGCATAAAAGTTGGTCAATGTGGGAGAGGATAAGTCTCGTCTATAATGGAGTGATCAGAGTTGTATTTTGATGAATTGTATTTGGGGATATGACTAGCCAGTTAGTTAGGTTATGGTGGTCACATTTTCTGTGGAATTCATGTATCGTCGTGTTAATTTCAACCTTATTGTATCGTTGAGGGAAAGTCAGATTTTCTCGACTGAGGAGTCTGTTGAGTGCCTGCCTGTCTGCCTGAGTGCCTGTGAGTAGTTATGACAGTGAGTCGGCTGTCATGAAGTTAATTTTCTTATGGTGACTGAATACATTGCCAGACAAACAGAGGAAGAGAGAGGTAGAGAAATTGTATGTCGTGGAGGGTTGTTGAACATGATGATTGACAGTGAGGTAGGTGGTGATGTTGATGGTGACGATGATGAGAATACTCGGAGGATGTGTTAGCCGGGTAGTACACTGACACTCGGCATTATTTTCGTCATTATTACTATTTGATTATTATTGTTATTGCATAAATCATCTTATTATTATTATAGGTTCGTAGAGTTCCTAGAGGAACATAGGGCTTTAGGTGCACGTCTCCATTGAGTTCGGTTCTCTGACAACGTTTTCACCTGGTTCCACGTCTTCCCACATGCTTTCATCTCCTCTTCACATGACCTCCTCCATGTTACCCTCGCACTGACAGTCAACTCGCCGCTTCCCGTTCGGCTTTCACTCGAGCGATGGCCTTGTGTGTGATATCACTCACTTGATGGTTTGTTTTCTCAGAGTATGATCAATCCACCTCGATTTCTTGCTGTAAATTTGTTGCACAATTGGTTTCTGCTGATTTGGTTGGTTGTTTCATTGCCAGAGGTCTCTGTTGGTGATGGTTTCTGGCCGGCCATCTGATGTTGAGCGAAGTATTGGGCGAAGACAGCTTTTGATGAATGTTTTTCGTTTGTTCGAAGTGGTCTTCTTGACGCACCAAGTCTCTGATCCGTTATAGTATAGTGAGTAACACTTGTCATCCAAGTTACGAAATGGCCCACATCTTCACGATGATGACCGGCGCAACAAACACAAATTATAGAGTGTGTAGGTGACAAGCACATTTACCTAAAGAAACTATAATCCATATTCTATCCCATTAATTCTGTATGAAGACGATTGGAAAACAACACTTACAAGGTTGACTGTCAAAGTGTTTGTGAGACAACTGACTAATTTTGTAGCTTGTGCAGACCGATAGAAAGCGGCCAAATTTGAAATCAACATTTTAAGCCAATGGCTGCAGAGGTAGAAGCATTTATACCTCAAACTCAGTTTACCGTCTGGTCATGAAATAACCTCATTGGATAATCTTGTTTAACGTTATGTCAGTTGCCAGTCAGTCAGAACAGTTTACTTGCACGCTGGCTGACCTAGCCGTGCTTTCCTTCATAAAAACGTCCTATACCAATCCGTTCATCTTTTACGGTTACACTTTGGCGTAAGGGGTGATGACTGAGTGATAAATAAAAGCAATGGTCACATTGGGGTCTCTCTCTCTCACCCCTACTTCTTATTCAAATAACAAACCTCTCCACTAGTAGTCTGGAAGCCATTTGGTTTGAATCCTGTGGCGATGTCGATTCTTGTTGGACCTTCAATTATCATCTATGAGATTTCTTTTTCAAGTATTCGTTTTGTAGGGATTTTGTTACATTGGTTGGAGGATTTCATTATGAGCTGACATCAGTTGGTGAAGTATTGGGAAGCCTGGGAGTGAGTACTGGACAGCTTCATGGGCCTTTGGAAAATGTCCCAGTGGCTCAGCGGTATACGAGCTCGCCTTGTAACCAGAATATCCTCATTTCGAACCCCGGTGGCTGCGTACTGCTCAAGCGTCACAAACTAGGACGAAATAGCTGTCCAGTACTCTCACACTATCCAATGGTTCTCTAACTAATGTCAGCTATTGATGAAATCCTCCAAACAATATTACATTTCTCTAAATTTTTGTACACCTTTAATTAGAAAATGAATATGTTGAATGTTCAACTTGATAATGCTCAGTTTTATTCCGAGCTGAGTTTTTTATTTTTAAATTTTGGTGTTACCGATATTTGTCATGGTGAGGTGATACTGTAATTTTCGCCGTGGACTTGACCAGCAGCTTCTCTATCCTACTTCACTTAACACAGTTTAATAATAACACAATGAGATATTTTCTAGTTCCAGATGCCACGACCACAGGAGACAATCTTCGACTTTGCTATTAGAGAAGGGCATGAAATATCCAGATTTATCAACTGGAACTTGTCAACTCAAGAAAATATATTTCAATGTGAGAAGGGGAATAGACAGTCCGAAAACTGACTGAAGACTAGACTGGACACCACGCCCACACTAGAAATTCAAAGATATCATTCATTCTCTCCCTCTACATACAAATTTCTGTCACACATATCGCTATTTGTAATCGAATTCCATATGAATTCGTTAATGGTGAATTTGTCACTCATTTCCTCGCATTTTTCGA